ACCAATTTCTAGAAAGTTGCATGTAGATCATTTTTCGAAAAATAAGGCCATAAACAAGTTTCACTTCTTACGTGTGTACACTAGTACACGCACACATTTTTTAAGTTACTAGAATGCCGCCATATTGAAATTCCTTTCTATTTTTTTTTTGTTTTTTAATAATAACACGTTTATTTTATTTATGTAACCACGAACCTGAGTCTTTAAAACTTTGGATTGCGACTTGAATAAAATAAGGACGAGAATAAACAGTTCAACTGCCTCTTTATCATTTCGATATGTAGGTAATATAGTATAACTTTATTCGGTGATTACATTTGTAATAATGTTTTTGAAGTGAAACTTCTTTATCGGCGTTGGAAAAAAATTTACCGTCACATTTTTCGGTTACGCGTCACATTTTTCCGTTACGCGCCATCTGTTTTGTATTCATGTCTATGATAATAAAATCCTTTTGTTTAAACTTTATCTAATTTAACTTTTTTGTATTCATGTCTATGATAATAAAATCCTTTTGTTTAAACTTTATCTAATTTAACTTTTTTGTATTCATGTCTATGATAATAAAATCCTTTTGTTTAAACTTTATCTAATTTAACTTTATTTAACCAATTTCTAGAAAGTTGCATGTAGATCATTTTTCGAAAAATAAGGCCATAAACAAGTTTCACTTCTTACGTGTGTACACTAGTACACGCACACATTTTTTTTTATAATATTTAACAACGAACCACTTATTTCACCACCACATGCAGTCGGTATCTACAGTTATGTTAACATTTAGTCTAAATTTATTTGTTACTTATAACGTACTAGCGGCCCGCCCCGGCTTCGCTCGGGTAGTAGCGCACGCGGTGTATAAAATTTAGGTATTCTTTTTACACATTGGGTTATACATTATTGGAGTTTTAGGAAGGATCCCTAGTTTTTTTGAAAATATAATAAATATAGCCTATGTCACCCGGGGATAGCGTAGCTTGCCCACAATGAAAGAATTTCGTAAATCGTTTCAATAGTTTCGGAGCCAATTCAATACAAACGAACAATCAAATCTTTCATCTTTATAATCTATATATATAAAAATGGATCGCTGTTCGTTAGTCTCGCTAAAACTCGAGAAGGGCTGGATCGATTTGGCTAATTTTGGTCTTGAACTATTTGTGGAAGTCCAGAGAAGGTTTGAAAGGTAGATAAATATGTAAATTCTCGGAATTAAATAAAGTTTAAGAGTCTTTTATTTATCGATTGAGGCACTACGAAGTCTGCCGGGTCAGCTATTATTAGTTTAAATTATGATGATTTGTGACATTCCGCTACTCAATAAATCAACTGCACTAATGCTCAAATATTCTGTTTCAACAATTCTGTGTAAATCAGGACTCCTTAGTCCTGATTTACACAGAATTAAAGTTTTTAACGTAACTAGCGGCAACATAGTTTTGTCTAGCTACTTTTATATTCTAACGGCGGCAGGGCACTGCGATTCATATCAATTAAGCGATAGAGCCACTATAAATGGCAGTAAAGAAGCTCTCCAACTACAAAGTTACGGTGTGCATTGGACAGCTTAATTGACCAGGAACGAAGTTTTCAGACGTCTTAGTTCGGTAGTAGTGCGCTTTCAAGTGCAGAGTTTGATGCTACGAGCTTTGTCGCGTAATATTCCCAAAAGTTTGCGAATATGAAATTGACGTATTTATGTATAATATGTATATTACGTACTAATTGTTTTCAATACAATAAAAGTTTCTTATTCTTTTTCACAGTCATCTCGGAGCTGTGTACATTTTCAAATGAAGATTTTGATCTAAAGTCTGTTTTAAACTATCGCAGATCTACATAAATAAACAATGTTTGTGACATAGTTTAAAATCTGCTACAAATTTCCATTCGAAAAGACACTGCCGAAAGCGAGCTAATAAAACCTGGTAAAATACATATCTCGTTTGCTGTTTAAAGTTCAAACTCGCTAAATGATGACGTGACCCACATAATATGTATATTATGACGGTCGGTCGTCTCTGCAGTTATGATCGACGGACACAGCTAGAAATATGTGCAGAAGTGTGCGATGAACCGTGCACAGCGACCACAGTTACAAAGCCTCCTTTGATGTTCGTCGGTCACCTGATGATTTGGTCCTTGACACTAATTCATCGCGTACATAAAATGTATCGTAGAAAACAACGTTCAACAAAGTAACAGCTATGATTATTCGCTCGGTGAGCAATATTTATCAGTACAAAAATAATGGGAATATTGCTATTCAAGGTGCCACGCCTGAGTTCAGCTTATCGGAGGTTTTATGTGCACTACGAGTAAAATAATTATTTTTGTAGTTCTCTGTATCAATGTTTACTTTGTAACGGTGACATGAACTTTTGATCTCGTACATACGTAAATAGAAAATGAGCTTATAGTATCTGTATCTAGTCAATTGAAAATGTATGCAACCATTATTGCTCTTTGTAGATAACGAATCATTCTACACTGAGGACTGATATATCTTTTGTTTTGTAAAGATGTATTTGTTACGATGACCTCTTTTTATTCCTTAGACTGGTGAATTAGTTAACGGCCCCTCAGTATTAAGTGGGGATCAAAGCCCGGACGTCAATAACATAATAAGTCCACCTTGAGAGAAGAATTCTAAGTCTCAGTTATATAGTAAAACCGCTGTCCACATACACAACCCACTGAGTTTCTCGTCGGATCCTCACAGAGTCACGATTTCGATTCAGTGGTGGATTCTGCGAAGCCCTGCTTTTACTAGGGGTTGTCTTAGCCCTCGGAGGTCTGACAGGCCGCCTTATTTCGGAGACCGGCGCCGTCGGTCGTTGACAACCGACAATCCGTCGTTCGAGCGTTCTCAGGGTAGCGCCGCGAGTCTGGTTGTAGTGTTGACCGCGGTAACACCCCTACTTTGCCCGGGTTCTAATTCCGGACGAAAATCGGACGTCGGGTAAGAGTGCAAGGAGAGTCCTCAGGTGGGGTATGGCATGAAAACATCCTCGGACCCGCGGTTTTCTCCCAACATCTGTAGACCGTCAAGTTTCATATACTCTGCGCGGCCCCTAGGCGCGGAAACCTCGAATGAAGTGCCCGAAAAAAATGACTTCGGTTTCTTTTAGATCGAAATTAAGAGAAATGTTTTACAAGATTTTCTCTATTTCACTATTCAAAATAACTCAACGTAGACTTAGTAGGTTGGAACTTAACTGCAACTAGGACTACTTGTGACTAGGTTGATAGTTACATTATAATGGGTTAAATTCAATTATATCAATCATATCTACTTATGTAAATGTAAATAGCTATTTCTGACGTAGAGCATTCATACGTCCGGTAGGAAAGATAGTAGCTGAATTACAATAATATTAAGACTTCGACCTGATCTGTCGTAGAGATGGCGATAGTATCTATTTTGTTTATTGATTTCGGTAAGCCCTTACGACAAATAAAAATACATAATAATATGAACGTAGCAGCCGTAGCATATCAGATATTCTAGTGTAATTGAACCTTTGAACTTAAGTCTCTCGTCGGATAGATATATCTATGTTGTGCTGACGTCTATAGGCCACGACAACCTGTAGGCCGAGAGCTCGTCACATCTCACGCGCCAATCAAATAAATTTATTATTTGCTTAATAGGCAATTAGTTTAATTTTAGAGCAACTAGATTTTGGAGCAATTGATGGATGCTTTTTAACTATTGTTATTCATGATAACGATTGTTCGCGTATGTGTCCCTTTTTTGTGTGGCTGGTGAAAAAACTCGTACCGATATTCTTGATCCACGGGCACAACTCGGTGGGTGTGAGATACCCACTGCAATCACTGGCGGAAATAAGGACTTTTTTTTATTGCTTCTATGGGTGGACGAGCTCACTCACAGCCCACCTGTTAAGTGGTTACTGGAGCCCATAGACATCTACAACGTAAATGCGCCACCCACCTTAAGATATAAGCTCTAAGGTCTCAAGTGTAGTTACAACGGCTGCCCCGCCCTTCGAACCGAAACGCATTACTGCTTCACGGCACAAATAGGCGGGGTGGTGGTACGTAAACATGCGCCCTCACAAGAGGTCCTACCACCAGTACAAAACCACCATGAAAGCCTCGCCTTCCCGTAATTCCATTGGTAATAGGCGCGAGTGACTTCTATCGTAATTTTCTGAAGAGCTGACCGGGACAAAAGTTTTATTGTCTTTTCGCCTAATCTACTCTGTCGGGGTGAATGACTGACTACAACGGATATGGCGACCATCTTTTCAATTTCGCTTTGTAGAAACAGAAACAACATCAGGTCATCGTACAACAGGTCCTTACGCCCTCCTGCGCCGCGACCCGGCACGTTTCTAAGCCCACAACACCTCCAATTCTCCTAAGGTCCAGAATAGCTCCGGTGACTTCGATGCCAGGTAGCTGAGAGGCGCTTGCACACTTTTTAGTTTCCGTCTATCGGCGTGACGCCTAACGTTCTAGAATATCATTAAGTACCATTAAAATTATCCCCTAAGTAGTGTACTTCTGATAGATGAGATCGAATTACATTCTTACTTTGGCCTTCTATTTAGATTCTAGTTAGATGTGAAAAAGAAATGATTTCTTTTCTATGTATTTTAAAAATTGGTGTTTAAATTAGAATAAACTTTCCAACATTCAGTACTTAGGATCTTAGATGTGTCTGTCTCATCAAACAAGAACAAGAGAACTATCGATCGATTCACACTTCTCAGTATGCCCTTGGTAGAAAGAAATCTATCTAATACGAGAAAGTGTTTTCCTATTTTTCCTCTTATTAATTACGATACTGTTACTTCACGAGAAACGCTAAGATCGAATTTCATATTATTAATGAAAAGGTAAACTATTTTCCTTCATAAAATTTCCTTCATAAAACATTTTTGTCTTATAAGTATCATTTTGTTTGCGGCATTCTGAAACTCTCATCGAAAGGTAAAGGTAAGTATAAATCAAACTCTAAATAAATTTAATGAACTTTATTTATTGAAACCAACAACGTGTTTTTAGGCATTATTTGTCGTTATTATACTAGCCGCCAATCGGAGACCTGAAATTCAGAGAAAAAAATGTTAAAATATATCTGTTTAAATAATATACAAAATTTAAATACACAACATTCATTAAATCACAAATACAACTAAAAACAACATTCATTACAGCAATAAATAAATCTAATACATAAGAACATAAACTAAGGTAGCCGATTCCATAGATTATTGGCTTTATCGTTTAGAGCGATCTTGTCCAAACAGCCTTGTACGGAAAGGAATCAACAACGAAAAAGACAGTCACTTTTGAATACTTCAACAAACTAAGTAAAACACAAACTACTACATAATTACATATTTACAAGAATAAAAGGTAATAATAATATAATAGAATGTATCAATATACCAAAAATAAATAAAGATATAAAAACCATCTTCAAATATACTGGTGAAGTGCATAGTAGCCGAGAACTCAACAAAGCTGGCTGTGATATGATCCTGAGCCCCCATGTCACAACCACCTTGTCGAGTTCTAGCGCTACTCAACGTCGCTTCTGAAAAGATCTGAGTCGAAGGATTCTGAAGTTCATCGCTCATCAAAGCTGGCTGTGATATGGCCAAAGTAAAAACGCATACGACAACCACTTTGTGAGCGACGAAACATTCGCCGCCTAGAAGAGACACTTCTTCTTTTTTTTTTTTGTCCTATCGGTGATACGTCACACAGCCCAACTCGTCAAAAATGGCTGTGATATGAGGGTTGCTACACGACACAGCCATTTTTACGAGTGGGCCATGGACTGACACGTACGAGATTAATATATATTCATGACCCTGGGCCGTTCTCAGTAAACCGACCACATCAAAGTGGCTGTGATATGAAAGGGAGGAGACATTTCACCGCCGCTTTGACAGGATCGAGATTATCCGGATTCGCTAGGTCTAACTTACGATAAAGTCTTGCTCGGGATGTTTTCTGCCCCGCGTGGTCGTTACAGATGAAGTCGTGCTCATCAAAGCTGGCTGTGATAGTTACGTTATGACCTATGACAAACCGACTTTGATGCCACGACTACATTCCGCCTTGTGTAATTCTTCAAAATTTACTTGCCTTTACCCATTCACAAGCTAACAATTTGTTTTTATGTTAGTAAACATTAACTAATTATTATTTTTGTAAATGTAAGCGTTGTATTCCATGTTTTCATCAAACATTTGTATCTCTAAGCGTGTTGCTAGACAAAATCCCGAAAGTTCACGATATAAATTCATCGAATTGGATTTTGGCACTAAATTATACAATTTAATTTATTCATGAATATCATAGATCTTTGTACGAACAGTTGACAATAGAATCAATTCAATTAAATAATATGATCACGTCTTATTTATTACATGGACTTTAGTTGCGAAATTAGTTCTCATTATAATACCTACAAATTTAACGAACTATCGAACTTAATTTCAACGTAGATTTCGAACACCGTAAATTTATATGCAAATTGTACATAAACAGGGATTAGTTCTAATAAACGCGTCATTAAATTATTCGCAGAGAAAATATTAATAAGCCTTTCACTGATATATAATTCAGAAAATGCATTACTTGCAAAAATATAACATTTTATGAGGCTCAAGAATTGTGTTAAGTTGTATCCAACGAAAAATTTCTACAGTATCATTGACGAAATTCAAACGAGTTCGAAAATATTTTTTCTGGAACATTCTTTTAAAATCGACCGAGCGTTAAAGATCGTTTGCGATATAATGTTTTATTTTATTTTATAAACCTTAATTTAAACATATTATTTCGGTACACATTTAGAATGCACTGTTAATGAGGTGGTTCGAATATTTTTACACCCGTTTCGAGTACGAACAAACACCGTTATGCATTTAGTTTTATGTTTCCGTTTGTCACGAATATGATGCAAAATGAAAATCACCTTCATTTGCGAAAATGAAAAACAGTAACGCTCATTTATACTCGTACTACAGGGTGTATTACGGCGTACCGGAAAATGGTGACAAATAATTCAATATCACGAGAAAATTACTAAAATTCAATGTTCTTAATACCAACAGACGCAAGGGACTGAGTTTTGACGGAGTTCGGGACGCATTTGCCTAATGCGTCAAATTACACCTTCATGTTTGACCTTTCTTTTTGAGTTTACTTTACTGGATTAGTTTATTACGCTTTCAATTTCGGGAAGGTTCCACTCACACCTTAGATTTGGATTTCATATTTTAAGTAAATTATGTAAAAATATTACTATGATCAGTTGTCTAAATGTAGAATAGATGTAATTTTTTGCTTACGTACGTGAATAAGTTTGTCACGTAATTACTTAAAAATTGGTATCTTCAGTCGATTTTGAAGTTTGATTTAGTTGCGTTACTCAATAAAGACGTCTTACTTATTCGACTAAGTGCTAGTTCTGCAGTATTTTTTACTGGTGGTAGGACCTCTTGTGTCCGCACGGGTAGGTACCACCGCCCTGCCTATTTCTGCCGTGAAGCAGTAATGCGTTTCGGTTTGAAGGGTGGGGCAGCCTTTGTAACCATACTGAGATCTTAGAACTTATATCTCAAGGTGGGTGGCGCATTTACGTCGTAGATATCTATGGGCCCCAGTAACCACTTAATACCAGGTGGGCTGTGAGCTCATCCAACCATCTAAGCAATAAAATAAAAATAAAAAAAGTATGGCCTCCTTATTTTTCCCTAAATTCCTATCCGACTTGCTAGTCAGATCTACTATTCCCAAGGAGTTTACATCAGACAAAAGAACGCACAGTTAAAAATTATCTATCTTTGAAGAACGAAGCACTAAGGAAATTTTAAAGCACAAGTTTTTTTTCACGCATTGACTTTCATGGAAAACATTTAAAAAAAAAAACTAACCGCTCTCAAAGTGAGGCGGCATGCCTAAACGTTCGAAGCAAATTTAAATTTCAATCACACGTTGATGTGAAATCCGAGAAATCAGTGCTCAACATTAATTAAAAAATATACAAGTATATTAGTTGTTATTAAATATTCATATATTGTCACGATTGACGTGACGGACAAAATTGTGAAAGCGAGTCACTAAATTGCAATTCAGGTTCGCATTTCCGTTTCAAGGGCTGTCATAGATTCCATGGATGGTGACGGCTCAACGTAGACTCAATTAAACTAATAGGCCTCAGTGATACTTCGTCATTTCTAAATCCAAAAATTTTATAAAATTAGTTAAAGTCCACTTTAAAAAAAATTAATATGCAAATCAGAAATCATTAAATCATTAATTGTTTCAAATAAAAACAACAAAAAAAAAATTCTTATAATTTAAGAAAAGTTGGAAGTCATATCACCTGGTAAAGTAGGCTACTGGTCGGGGCTACTAAGGCGCAGGCAGTCGGAACGTCCAACCACCTCGGGACTCCGCGACGTACTGGCTATATAATATAATCAATGTTTGTTCGAATAGCATGGCTATCAAACGACGCCATTCCGGGACGCGTCCCAGGCTTCCCCCGGGATAACCTCTTGTTGCTCCTCTTTACGCATTACAGAAAATTAACTCTACCGCTTTATTGTATTAAGAGCTTTTCTTCCTTATCTCGAATAAGGGAAATATAGCGCAACTAGCATGCGTTTAACAAAGATTTATGTTACGTACAGATTATTTCCTGCATCTAATATCATATTATCTTCAGAGCTATGCGTGTTCAGAAAAATTTATATTCTTTGTTTGATTTCCATTTTTTTTAAATTCCGATTTAAAAAGTGTCGAGCAAAGGTCTAGAGCATTTTCTTGTATATATTTTCTACTGTACTGTCAGGAAAAAGAGCATTTTAGAGCATTACACATCGAACGTCTAAGCTTAATTAGTCATTTACTGGTGGTAGGAAGTATTGTGAGTCCGCACTGGTAGGCACCACCACCCTGCCTATTTCTACGGTGAAACAGTAATGCGTTTCGGTTTGAAAGGTGGGACGCAAAAGACGTTGTACAGTAAAAACTGAGACCTTCGTAGGCAGCGGCATTTAGATTGTAGATGTCTATGGGCTCCGGTGACCACTTAACACCAGGTGAGCCATGAGCCCGTCCACCCGTCTAAACAAATCAAAAAAATCTACATTGGAAAATTCATAGACAATAGCGAATCATATTGTACTGTGTAGAAAAGTCAATTATTTACACGTAACATAAGAGATGCAACAGATTGAAACTCCGTGGTTAAAACTTGATTAGGAAATCGGCTTCGTCAACGCTCCCGACGTTGTAATATAACTATGTGAATTTTAATTGATTAATAATACTTTTATCGGAACAATGACCCCTACGAGACACGACAAAAACTTAACACTGACTGAATGCGGTATTCATGCAGTGCTGCACTGTTTTCGGCAGAAATCTAGTTTTGATGAAATTTTAAATGATAATTTACATATATTGATATATTTAAATACATCGATATTCGTGTTTATGTGGCGTAGTTTTGTATATACGAAGAGGAAGTTCTGTATTTTACAATCGAATAATATACACTAATTCGAGACGTATATAAATCGTCCATCATATTCTTCTATGTATGTATATTGATTAAATAAAGAATTTAGCTTTATAACACATAACGTTAATATCGCAGACTTTTGTAGACATATTTTTTTTAAAAACCCACCTGGTACCCACGCAGTAGTAAGCGGTTACTTTTTCTTAAACGTTTTATAACTGACAAAATTACGTAAACATCTTTTCATCTTTTTAAGCTAGTAAAATTCATGTGAAACGTTCAAGAGAGAATTCAAAGGATATCATTGGATCCAATTAATTTAGCACGAATGAGTTCCTTTAATTTCTTTAGTCAACAAAATATCAAATTGTCGCAGTACTTTTCCGTCAGCTTAATAAAATCAAAAGTAATGCGAACAGAAAAATGGATGAGCGCCATCCAATCGTACACAAAGTGCATGCACTATTCCGATTATATCTAGGATGAAATTTTGCTACGATAAGCTTTTGATCCTATTGTTTCGGCTGATTGGTACGGACAATAGGATTTCCTTT